CCAGGCACCGTGACTTCTGTTCTCTTGGGCCTTCCTTACCCTCTCCCTGCACTAGCCACAGCCCACAGGTGGCCTTGTCATAGTTCTGGGCTGAGTTTCATCTCCCCTTAACCACACTTCCTCGCCCACCCCACCCCCCTGGCCCCATGTAAAGATCCTTCTCAAGCCCTGTTGGCAACATAAGGCCTCCTAGGTGCCCCATCTCACCAGGAAGATGGGATGCTTTCAGGGAGGGGTGAGTGGGGCAGAGGGCTGCTGGAAGTCAAAGGAGAGACCTCTGTCACCCTCTCCTGCCTCGTCTTCTCAAACTGCCTGGCCCCCTGCCAGCCCTGGGTATGGGACAACTTGCAGCACTGGGAGGGGTGTCAGGAAGAGTCCGCCCCTAAAGACCCCTCCTGGGCCTGCTGATTATGCTTTGACGTGCCTTCCATTGTCAGCCCCATGAGCCCTTCTGGCCTTTGGCACCTCCTGGTCCATGAGGGACAGACAGTCCTAGGTGAGTCCCAGCTCAGCCACTCCCAGCTGTGACCTTGGGCAAGGGGCATTACCCCCAGGAGCCCGTTTCCTCATCAAGTGGGAATAATCATACCGGCCCGGGTTGGTGTGCAGTTCCAGCATAGACACACAGCGAAGGCCACGGCTGCTTTTCTCCTCTTCCCTCTCCCTTCACGCCTGCCTGCTTAGAGCCCGAGAACTTCTAGAACCTGGAGTGTGGGTGAGGTTGGTCCTGGGAGGACAGCATGGGGGAAGCTGCAGGTATAGGGCCACACTCAGCACCAGTGTTTTGTACACCATGAGGGCCAAGCTGAGCTGCCCCTGCAGACACTGTGTAGCCTCTGACCTGGCTCTGGAAGCGTCCCCCCTGCAGCCCCCAGCCCCATTCCACTTACCCAGCTCAGGAGGGCCGCTTAGAGTGATGCCGCCAACAATGGGAACTCACAGACCTTGGCCACTAGTGACACCCACCTTGCCTGCCGCCCAAGCCCTAGATCCCAGTCGACACTCCACAAGCCAGTCCAGTGAAAGGGAGTCTAGGAGCAGGGCAGGCTCAGCCTCATCTCTACCTCAGTCTCTCTGTGCATCAAGTGCTCACACAGAGCCTGGCACATATTTTAGTGCTCCACATGCTTTAGCTATTTTTATTAGTAGTAGTAGTAAGAGGAGGAGGGGGAGGATAGCAGTCCCGTTTCATGGAAGAGCAAGGTGAGGCCCAGAGCAGTTAAAAGCCACCACTTCTGTGAAGCCTTCCAGGCTCTGCCCCTTCTCCCAGAAGTGGCTCCTCCTTCCTTTTGACTTCTTTCCGTTTCTTTCCAGTGCTCTAGCTTGGGCAGGGCACACAGTGGGGTGGATTCCAAAGTGGGGAAGGGGTAGGTTGGAGGAGCAGCTCCCCAAGGCTCTGGGTGCTATCAGGGGGCCTGCAGCCAGGAGGCCCATCTGCCCAGGGACCCTACAGTTGGCTGCACCCCAGCCCCAGCTCTCACTCCCCTTCACCGGCTCCCCTGCCAGCGCCGCCTGACTAACAGGTGTGGTGAGAACCGGGCCGTCCCCCCGACAGCCTTGGCCTCTGCCGCATCTGCATGTCTGCTCCTGGGGCATCTGCCCTGTCCTCCTATGGATGTCCGCCTTCCTCTTAGCCCCCTCCCCAGCGGGCAAGATTCTGATCGCCTTTGTTTGCTACCAGCTGGTTAGCAGTTAAACTCAGGTCAGTAAAAGTTAATTGAGCAAAAGTGTGTGCCAAGCACTGGGGCTCCTGTGAGGACTGGACTCCAAGAGGCCCCACCACCTGAGTTGTCTGGGTGCACCTACCGGGCACTGGGAACTGCTCTCCCTACCTGAGCAACTGAGAGGCGGGTGCTGCCCGGGCTTACCGATGAGGAAACTAGGGCCCAGGGAAGCAGGGAGCCTGCTTGCAAGTGCTTGGCGTGGACGGGCTGGCCTTGGGGCCTCCACTGGGACCGGAGTGGGGGAGTCGCTCCGGTGCTGACCCAGGTGGCTCCCATCAGTGGCAGCAGAAGCTGGAGGCAGTTAGGCTGCTCTTGGCTTTTCCAGACACCTGGCTGGGCCCTTGGGAGCCTACACTCTGGGGAGACTCTTAGCACCCCTTGATCATAGGGCAGCCTGAGGCCACTGCACAGGGCACCTGCTAGGGCAGTCGTGGGGCCTGCTCTTCCCTGCTGGGGCTCCCTGACTCTCCCCTCCCTGTAGCCACCTCAGGGGGCCCAGGAAGCTCTTACCCTCTGGCCCTGCCTGCATGCCCCCTCCTCTCTCAAGTGGGCCTGAAGGCCCAGCCGTTCCCTCTCCGTGCCCCATCTGCCCTTTCCGGCCTCCTGCCCACAGAGGAGATCGGTGCTTTGCACTGTGAACCTGCCTCCTTTCATTTCATACTTTTTCTCCGGCTTCCCACCCCATCGGGGAAGGAGAGGTGCTTCTACTCCAGACTGAGTCTCTTTCCTGTCCTGGCCCACGAGCCAGCCCTTGTTGTCAGGCCTTCCCCTCCCACAGCTCCTTTGTGGCTTTTGCTCTTAGCCGTTCCCCAGTTCTGGAGGATATGAGTGCCCCGAGCCAGTGGCCATCTCCGGTTAGCCCTGCAGGCTGCCGGGCTGTGGCCTGAGCCCCGCCCCAGCTCTCACCACTGGAGACTGGCAGCAGCCGTGGATGCCCACCCACGCCGTGTGGCCGTGGAACTTCCTGGGCAGCACTCCTGGGTCTCAGTTTCCCATTCTGCTGGGTAGGTCGGAACAAGGCCCGGAACATAGCGGGCGCTCAACAAATTCTTGTTGAATTAGTGAACTAAGTAACTCATCCCTGGCTCATCCAGCTCACCTGAATGTTGTGTGATCAATGTAACTCCTGGATTTAAAAAGCCTTGCAAAGTTTGACAGTGTTGTTTGGACAGGAGCATCCATCATGCTCGGTGGGACACTGCTGTTGTCTTACCGCGGTGTTAGAACCACGGCCTTCCCTTGGCAGAGGCGGCCTCCTGAGTCCCTCATGCAGCCTCTCCTCCCTTCCAGCCCTTTGCCTGCCTTGGGCCCCAGCTTCTCTCCCCTGCTCATTGCCTGAGTCCTGCCTCAGTCACTGCTCCCTATCTTCTCCTGTGTCCTCCCTTCTCGACCCGGGGTCAGCTGGGGTGATATTTCGGAAGCATAGATTGGGGCCTGTCACGCCCCACTTGAAACCCTTCCAGCTGCTCATGGCTCTCGGGCCGAGAGCGAAAGCCCTGTCTCTGCAAAAGAGGCACTCCCCGGGGGAGAGGAGCTGTGTCCCTCCATACCCGTCTTTCGTACCCCTGGGCATTGGCACCGGCTGCCCCTCTGCCTGCAGGACCCTTCCCCATTGCTTTCAAACCCGGTTCCTTTTCCCTCAAGGCCCTTCTCAAAGACCCTTCCCCTGGACTGGGGGCCCCCCGACCCTGTTTCCCCAGCAACTTGGGCTCTCACTCTCACGCAGTCCCTGAGTCATTGTCCCTTATCTCCCTGTGTCCCCCCCCACGCACTTGTCCCATGAGACCGTCAACTCCCTGATGCAGGATCTTGGGAATTTTTGTACCTTTAGTTCACAGAAAGCGTTAGAGAGCAGTTGCCAAATGAATCAAGGAATGACTCCAGGAGTAAGTTGCCCTCGCCTGCTGTGGGGACTCTGGGCTGGGCCTTTGGGTCTGTAGTGGGATGTGGGAGCACGCAGCAGCCTCTGCCTACCCTCAGGGTGGCCTTCCTTTCTGATGTCCCTCTGGGGGTAGTCACTGGTTCTGGAATCACCCTCAGAATGGGCCTTCCTGGCCCAGCCACGTGCCTCGAGACGGCAGTAGCTGGATCCGCAGTGAGGGGTCCTGAGCTGTCCCAGGATCTCCTGCAGACTGAGAGCAGCGCAGGAATCCTGAAGAGCCAGAGGGTCTGCAGCATCTCCCCACCCGGCTCTCAGCCCTCCTGCCCTGTCCCCCACCCAGCTAGAGCCATTTGGCCCTCGCCCCCTCCCAGGTCAGCCCTGCCCCTCTTGACCCCTAAGAGTCCTCCTGGTCTGAACCTGCGGCACCTCGGCCCTGTGCAGGGAACCCAGCCCCGAGTCCCGCCTCTGTGCTGCTCTGACCCGGCCTCAGCCCTGCCTTGGGCCCTGACAGTCCTGCAGACGGTCTGCCCACCCCTTTGCTCTCACAGACTCATGTCCTGGGGTTTCTGGCTTGCTGGCTCTGCTTCCCTGGTGCTGACCACCTTCCCCCGAGTGTCACCTTCCAGGGGACCCAGCCCCTGCCTCCGAGCCTGCCAAATCTGGGCAGAGTTTGAGGCGCCCTGTCCGAGAAGGGGGCCTGGGGAAGACGGGAAGGAGGCGATGCTGCCCCGGTCCGAGGGAACCCCTAAGGCACACAACCACTAGACACTGGGGGGGGGGGAGCCCAGAAGGTGGGTTTCTGGGTTTCTGGCTGGAGGAGATATCCATGAATGGGGTTCCTGGAGGGCATGTTTCCTGGAGGAGGTGCTGGTGCCCAGTGGGGTGTGAGGAGGAGGAGGAGGGAACTTGGAGGGGGAGGTCCTCACCAGTGGGTGGATCAGCATGAGTGAAATCGTCCTGGGTACCCTCTCTGCTGGGCCCTGGGCCAGCTTCATACCCTGCCCCGGTACAGCCTTTGGGTGGCTGTTATGAGCTCCGTCTAAAAGGTGGGGAAGCAGAGGTTCAGAGAGGCTCAGGGACTCCCCCTAGGTCACCTGCTGTCACCAAGGCATTGTCAGGCCTCTACCCCGGGTCTGGCATCTTTTCAGGCTCCTATGTGGAGGGAGTGAGGGAGAGTCTGAGGAAGAGGGGGAGGGAGGCTGGCGCCCGCCAGAAGCGTCAAACAGCTGCTGACTGTGACTTTCCGGGGAGGGGGTGTGGGTGGGGGGTGGCTTTCTGAGTTGGTCCTGTTCTTCTCCCCCCTCCCGTGGGAGAACCCTCACGAGGAGAGGTTCCCGCCGCGCGCCCCCTCCCTGCAGAGGCCGGCAGTTTGCCTTTTCAGAGGATAATTCCCCATTATACAGAGATATTTAGCCTAATAGAAGCCGACAGATCATTCAGGGCAGTAATGTACTCCGGCTTCAAGCGTTCAGTTTCCTCAGCCTGAACTCTCAGATTAAAGGCTCCTTGCCCGCGCCCGCCCCACAACGATGCCTGTGACCTTGACTGCAGTGATGGGGTAGGTTTCTCCCTCCCTCTTTCCCTCCTCCTTCTTTGCGGTCTTCCTCCTCCCTCCCTTTCTCTCTCTCTCTTTCTTGGAAAAAAAAAAGGTATTTTCCTTCTTAAATATTCAGTGGCGAGGCTGTTGCTCAAAGCCTGCATGCTCTGAGGACAGGCAGGGTGTGCTCGGCCGCCAGCAGGGCCCGGGGACACCCGGCTCGGCCACACGGGGCTGGAGGGTGTGCCGTGCGGGTGGGCAGTCTGTGTGCTACACCCACTGGCTGGGCGTGGGCCGCGGAAGCTGGGCAGTTGGTCTTCCCCGGGGCTAGGACCAGCCCCCTACTCCCTTTGCCCACCCCCGGCCCCTGCCCCAGGGCGGACCCCCCGGGGCCTGGCCTGGGACCCTCCGAGAATGGGAGACTCCTAAGAGGGGAGTTTTGTCTGCCGCTCAGGCCTGGACGTCCGGGGAAGGACCCGGGCAACACTCGGGGCAGGTTTGAGGGGCAGAAGGCAGCAAAGGTGGCACTTGGTGGCCTTTCGTCGATCAGGAGGGTGGCTTCGGGAGCTGTCTCGTTCCGGCCCCTGCAGGAGCCGCTTGTCGGTTCGTCCGTCCCCACTGCCCCATGTCTCTCTGTCTTGCCATCTCACCCCTGTCTTCTGCCCACCAGGCCACCTGTCCGAGCCGCCTGCTACTTCTGCACCAACAGCACGGGGCACGCAAAAGCGCCAGGTGTTTGGATTCAGCTGGTCCCGGGTTCAAACCCTGACTCCAGGACTTACAGGCTGTTTCTTCTGTTCCATTTAGTATTTTGAACTTGGACAAGTTCCTTCATCTCTCTGAGCCTTCATTCCCTCACCTGGAAAGTAAAAGGATCCTGAGGGCTCAGGGCGTGCTGTGGGCAAGGAGCGGTACCAGGTGCGGCTGCCCTGCAGGTCCTCTCCCCTAGGGACTCCCACCGCCTCTGCCCAGATGCCCTCTCTTCCTCTCTCTTGGCCCCTCTTGGCTAGGAAGGGGGAAGGTGGCCAGGAGGGGTGCCTGGCACAGTGGGGTCCGGTTCTCCCATTCACAAGCCACCTGTGTAAGTTTGAGGAGAAAGGCCTGGGGGAGGGACCCTTCTTAAGTTCACTTCCTGGGCAAGCCTAGTGTCTGGATGCAGGTCTGGTTTGAAGGAACCCACATAAGGGGCTGTGGCTGGACCACCAGGGGACGGAGCAGGGAGAATGGAAGAGCAGGGCCTGGGTAGCCAGGGAGGAGAAGCCTTCTGGGGTGGGATTCCCCTCCCAGGTTCCAGGGGGTTGGGCAAAAAAGAACCTCTAACCATTGGGAATGAGGAGTCTTGGCACCTGGATGAAATCCCACGTGGTGGAGAGATTTCTACTCCTTCTGGGGCAGGGGTGGTGGGATGACCATTGAGGGTGCAGGAGGGGAAGGCCCCCCAGGTGTTGGGCCATAGAAGGAATCTGGGGCTGATGTGCTGTGGGAACTTGGGCTGGTCCCATTTCCTGTCTGGGCCTCCGTTGCCTCATCCTATAAATAGGGTTAATCATCCTGCCCTGGGATGGGCAGAAGATCCAGTTAGAGAATATATGGGAATGTGCAGTGATCTATAATGTAGTACTAATAATAACTATCATTACGGTCATTACCTTCCTTTCCCTTCACTCTCTCTGACACCTACTTTGCCCTGATTCATATGGTGATAGAATTAAAGAAACACATGACTGAAAGCAACTTCCCCATTTAGTGCAAAATCCCCACCCAACATACTTGGTTCCCAGACTTCTGCTTGCATGCCCCCAGGGACAGGGAGCTCACTACTCCTCGTGATGGACAGAAATCTGTCTCCCTAGAATCTTTTTTTTCCACTGGGCTTAGCTTGGCTCTCTGGGCACATAAATGCTAAGTGTCTTTGTCAGGGACCTAACATCCTGACCAGGCCTTTTGAGACGTCCCCAGGGAACATAATTCCAGGCCCACCTCTTCCTGTCAGGATCCCCATGGGCAGATTTCACGTTATCAAATACCTTCTAGACAGGCACATAGATGCCTGGGCATGGCTTTCTGGAAGTAGCTGCACTGTCTCCAGAGCTGAAGCAACTGGCTTACCTAGCCTCTCTGTCTCCTGGCCACCAGGCTCCACAGAGTCCATGACCAGAGTCCCTGGCCTCTCTGTATAGTGGTTTTTGGAGCTACTCAGCTTACCCAGGTTCTGGTAACTCTCTTTTATATACTGTGGCCCATTCCTAGGGCGCATGGAAGGCCTTGAACAGGGGACTCTGCCTCCCTAGTTGACCCCTCACAGGCTGGACCTACCTTCAAGGTTTCATCCTAGTCTCTGCCAAAAAAGTTGTTCCGGGCAGGGCCAAGGACCGGCCCTGCCACTGCCAGGGGCGAATCCTCCCCCAAGAGCCGGTGTGACCCACTCTCCCACGTTCTTGGACATGGTTACTTAGCTAACCACTGAGTGAGCTTTCTGTCTCCTACATGCATGTCATCCTTTCGAACAGCCAAGAGGGGACATGTAGTTATCCTGCAAGATTCTTTGGTAAGTGAACTCAAACTTGCCATTTTCTTTTTGTTCTGTGCAGCACTTCTAGAATTTCTTATTAGAATGGATGGGAAGCTTACAGGTCTAAGCCCGAATTGGCTTTTTTGGCTCCCTTTTGAAAACAAAAGGGGAAGGATGCTAATATTTACAAATGCCAGTTCTTGACATGTCTCATTTCACTGACCCTTCATCACAGCCTTATGTGGGAGGACGGTGGTTGCCTCTCGGAAGACGAGGGGGCTGAGCGCGTCTGGGGATGTGGTCCCACGGCTAGCAGGGGGGCTAGCAGGGGCTGGTGCAAGGGCTCCGAAGCAGGCTTTTCCCCAGCCTCGCTGCTCACAGGTGCAGCCAGCTGGGGGCCTGCTCTGGGCCAGCCCCCGAAACCCTCTCCTATCCTGCCTTTTCGGACAATCTTGTCAGCCTGAGGGCGGGACCCGGTCTTGCTCCTCCCCACGCACCACACACAGGACAGGGAACAGAGCAGGGGCTCTGGAAGTAAGATGCCTCAGGGGCACGCGAGACTCGGTGTGGGGGGTGGTATTTGCTCATCTGCGCTAATCGTGCAAATTGTATGGGGGGGTGGTAAAAGCAGGGCATGTGTGTGGTGGAAGATAAGAGTCATCCGTGTTTCCTTTTCTTACCTCCACTCCCTCACATCCAGCTCACCCGCCAACTTCGGAGGAGCTGGCCCTGCTCCCGCACGCACCCTGAATCCGTCTAGTCCTCCCTCACCTGGGCCCAGCCTTGTTGCTGTGTGTTGGCAGCTGCGGCAGCCAGCCCACTGGGCCCTTGCTCCCGTGCCCGCTCCTTTAAATCCAGCCTCCACTCAGCAGCCCCAGGGAACTTTTCACAGTGAAGAAGACCTCACAGTCCTTCCCTAGTGACTTTTCATCACCCGGGAGGCGAAGCCCAAGGCCCTGACCTTGGCCCCAAGGCCCCGTCCTCCCTCTGCGGCCTCATTTCTCACAGTTGTTCTCACCTCTGCCCACCTCCTGCCAGGCCCCAGAAACACCGGCCTCCCACCCGCCTCTGCTCTCCTCCTCCGGCTCAAGGTGAGACTGGTTCCTTATCTTCTAGGTGTGAATTCGGGTATGGCGTCTGCACAGAGACCTTCCCTGACCCACCAGCTAGCCCCACCCCAGGACCTCTCTCTCCTGTTACCTGGTTTGATTATCTTAATTGTACTTGTTGCTCTTCGCAGCTAACTTCCTTGTTTATTTGCTAATCATCTGTACCCCCCTCCCCACGAGAGCATCAGATTTGTCTGTTTTGTAGCCCACTGAATTCTCAGCATCTATAATACGCCTAGCATATAGTAAAGGCTCAACAAGTATGTGGAGAAAAAATGAAAACGCAGAAACATGTAAAGGAGAAATAGCAAATTATACAATTGTGGATATGGTAGCATATCGTTGATGATGTAACGATTGTGTGTGTGAGAGTGTATGTGGGTAACCTGGGAATCATCTGCTCCTCCATTGAGAGGGCTGGCCATGAACCTGAAGCACGGCATGCATGAACATATGGGTCACACGTGTGTGTAGGCACGTACATGTCTCGCTGTTCGGTAGCAGTGTAACCTCTGCTGAGGTCTTTCACCCCTTAGGCCTCAGTCTCTCCACCTGTGGAGTGGGGTTGGCTGGGGCTGGAGGCAGAGGCCCGGATGCCGTGGCCTCTCGAGGTCAGCCCTTGCCAGTGGCTGGACCCTACAGGCAGCAGGCCCACTGGCCCACAGCGCTGTGCGGAGGGGCCAGGAGGCGTTTATTGAAGTCTGCCTCCACCCAGGGCCGCTCCCCACTGACCTCTGAGGTGAGGATCTCACCCAGGCAGGAGGGAGTGGCCAGGGCGACAGGAAGTGAGCAGAGAAGCCTGGAGACAGGAGCTTTGCTTCTGGGAGGTGGATTATGTTCACAGTGGAGGTCTCTTGGAAGCATCAGGAGCTTGACCTTGATATGTTTTCATTTTGTGTGTGTGTGCTTGTTTTTTAAAGACAGATTTTGAGACATTTATTTTATTTCTTGAACTTTTTTCTTTCAATTGCCATAAAAAGAATTTTTATGAAATTTAAAAGGGAAAACACACACACACACACACACACACACACACACACACACTTGTTTTCACCCACCCAAGGCAACAACTGTTCCTTCACTGTCTCCTTGCCCTTTTCCTGTGAAGACAATGCTGGAACCTTGCCAAACGTGCGGGGAGTCCAGGGGGCTCTTGACCTTAGACAAGTGGCTTCATCTCCCTATACCTTGCTTTCCTCGTCCAAAAAAAAAAAAAAAAAAAAATCAGGGCATCATAATTGCTCCATCTTATAGTTCTTGTGCAGATTACACAAGTCAACATTTAGAAAGCACTGTGAAAGGTGCCGGCCACTTTGTATGTGTTTGTTAAATAAGAGGAGTAAATAAATAGAAAGGAAGGGGCACCCATGATGTCGCCATCATGGCAAGAAGAGGCCTCTGTGGAAGTCTGGCCTGAGGGTCAGAAAGCGAGAGCGCAGGCCCCGACTCTGCCCTTACTCCCCCTGTAACCAGGAGCACGCGTGGCTTCTCTGGACTCTGCTCATCCATCTGTAAAGTGGTTATGTCATCAGCCCCCCACGACGCTGCAGCACGGGGCGGGGGGCGGGTCACGGCTGTGCGGGGCTCAGTGCGCGCAGGGCACCGGCCACCGCTGCCGCCCGCCCTCCCCCCACCCATCCTCTCCGTTTTCTTGCTCAATGTCATTAGAGCTCATGGTTATCACTGTTGACGGCCGTGTAATAGTCCTTCGAGTGGAGGTGTTACGATGCACTTTGTCATCTCTGTTGTGGGATGGTCAGGCAGCTTCCAGTATCTTGCTGTTATAAATGACCCTTCCATGAACATCTGTGTGTCTGGAGCACTTCCCTCTGATGGATGATTTCCCCAGGCAACTTCACGGACATTGGTTGAGGCTGCTTTGTTGGGAGGACGGAGGGACGGGCTAGCGGCAGTGGCTGGGAGAGGTGGGTCCCTTCCAAGGTGTCCTGATAGCCTGCTTGGGGGGGCGGCAGCGAGACAACCAGTGTGAGCCCTGAGCATGGTGGGAAAGGCAGGGCATCTAGTGTGACAGGGCCGAATGTGGTGGGAGGACATGAGGCCACCGTGGGGCGGGCAGTGGCACTAGGAGCTGGAGGAACAAGGTTCTGCTTTGGCCTTTGTGTCTCTGTCACACACTCTGTCTGACCTTGAGCAAATCCCTTCCTCTCTGTGGACCTCCGTTTTCCTCGTGTGCTGTGGCCAGGGGCTGGGCAAGGCTTGGTCCAGAGCTGCACTGTCTCCTCTGGTTGCCACTAGCCACCTGTGGCTGTTTTGATTTAAATATAAAGTAATTAAATAAAAATTTTGAAATCAGTTTCTTAGTCACACTGTCCATGTTTCTGAATCCAGTCGTGGCTAGTGGCTACCACACTGGGCAGCACAGGTATAGAACATTCCCTTCACTGCAGAAAGCTCTGTGGGTCTGTGCTGGTCAAGAGACATTTCCAGAAATCCAATCAGCCCTAATGTGCTGTGGTTCGGGATCTCTGTCATCATGCCTTCTTAGGGAACCAAGAAGAAGGCCGGCAGCCCTGAGCTCAGAGGACTCATTAAGGGCCTGACAAGGCTTCGTGACTTTACACAGGCCGGGGCCTCTGGTAGTGTCTAGAGTCTGAAATATCCATGCCTGCTTCTCTCCCCAGAGGTCTCAGTGTGGCCTCTGAGAGAAGCTGGGCAAGCGTATGGGCCCCAAGAGGGGTGGCCCCAGCCGGGGACAGTGCCCAAGGGAGGCTGGCATGAAGACAGAGTAGGTGGCCTCCTGATTCCTCAGGTGGGAGGGCAGCTGGGGGGCAGTCAGAGTTGCTCTCTGCCCCCGCCTGAAACGTCACTTGTTCCCTCGGGGAAAGCATTGTCCTCTCTGGGATTCTTTTAGAAGTCTAGACTAGGGAGCAGAGAAGATGGCCACCTCGCTCATCTTGCCCTGCTCTGGCTGCCTCAGGCCCTAAGCCGGCTCTGGGCACCTGCTGGGAGAGGAGCCGTGAGAAGTGAGCCCAAGCATGAGGGTGAAGCTGCTTCTCTCCCCAGCAGTAGGCACACACGCGCTGGCTACCCAGGGATTCTGGCCACGCCTGTCCCCCGCCTCTCCCTTCCTGTCAGAGGGAGCCCCTCCCTCCCACAGTTGCTTTTCTGCAGCCTGGAGGTGTCACAGGGGGAGGGAGAGGTACGGGGTGGGGGCAGGGTATAGTGAATAGGGGAAATACGAGGCAAGGTATGAGGAAATGAAGAGAAACTTGGCTCTCACCTTTGCTGCAGTGTAGCCGCCTTCTGCCCTCCCCCCACGCCCATGGGCCCCTCTGTCCCCCTATAAACCCCACTGCTCACTCTTGTTTCTCCTGTTTTCCAGGGATCCCATGGCCATGTCCTGGCTGCCCTGAGTCTGTGAGGCCACACAGCCCCCCACCTGCATCTACAGGGCTCTGTCCCTGTGCAGCCCCTGGACCAACTTCCAAGCCCACTCCTCACCCCAGGGGACTCCTCAAGCTTCAGGACTCAGAGGGGCACAGTAGCAGTCACGGTAGGTGGCATCCCCACTCTGCTCACTCCCTGGCCCCTGGGGATACTCAGCTGGGCCTTCTTGGTCTCGGGAATAGGAAAGATACCTTTCTGAACACTGTGTCTGTCAGAATCCCCTTGGTTGCAAGTAGCAAAAAACCTGTTTAAATAAAATAAAATTATCAGCTCATGTAACTGAAGGGTCCAGAGGTAGGTTGGGCTTCAGGCAGGGTTTGATCCAGTGATTCGAACAGTGACCAGGACCTGTTTTCTGTCTGTATTTCTTTTTTTTTTTTAAAGATTTTATTTATTTATTTGAGAGAGAGAATGAGAGATAGAAAGCACGAGAGGGAAGAGGGTCAGAGGGAGAAGCAGACTCCCTGCTGAGCAGGAAGCCCGATGTGGGACTCGATCCCGGGACTCCAGGATCATGACCTGAGCCGAAGGCAGTCGCTTAACCAACTGAGCCACCCAGGCGCCCTCTGTCTGTATTTCTATGCTTCACCTCCACTCCTAGGAGCATTTCACATGACTTGGTCACAAGATGTCAGCCAACAGTTTCTGGGGCAACATGCTTCCAGGTTTAAATCTGGGGTCAGGGTTGGAGACAAATTCTGCTTTCTTGATAGAACAAATAAAAGTCCTGGGGTTGATCTCTTGGGCCCTATTGGATCCTTGTTTGGATTGTCCTGACCCTTTAACTGGGTCCACAGGTCCTGGAAACAAAGGTGCTGGGGGTCAGGGTCTGTCCTTCCCCAACCATGTGACCAGGAATGAGGGGAGGGTGTTTCCCAAAGGAACCTTGGGGTCTAGCTGGTGGAAGGAGTTACCCCCAACTGAGGGAGTCAAGTGACAAATGATCGGTGGAGTCTGTCCAGCTTGGACAGCTTGAAGGCAGTCCCAGATAGATGCAGATGTGTGGTGTGTCCTTGGGCAAATCCCTTTGCCTCTCTGAGCCTCAGTTCCCTTATCTGATGATGAACCCCTGGTAAGGGTGCTATCGGAGCTACTTGAAATGATGTATGGGAAGCATGGGCATCTAGCAGGTACTCCGTAAATCCTGCTTCTCTTCCCCTTCTATTTCCCTCCCGGGGAGTTTGGAACATCCTGTTTTCTTAAACGTGGAAGGAGCTGCAGAGCAAGAATTGTCAGTCAGGATCCCTAGAAGCAAAGTCTGAGACAAGGATTTGTGAACATGAGACTTACGGAGCATGGGCTCTTGGGAGAAGGGAGGAAGAGAAGAAATCAGGGCAGGAATGAGAGCCCAGGAGTGAGGGAGATCATGGTCTCAGGGAAAGTCTAGGCTTGGGCTGGCCCTGGGGGCCCTGGAGTAGAGTTGACACCATAGACTTGCCGCCCACATGGGGTGGCTGGGCTTTTGTACCCCTGTATCAATCAGTCACTGACTGTGGGCCGTGCCTGCGGTCCTGTAGTGGCCCCCGTTGGCAGAGGGCAGTTCTCTGGAAAAGGGGGTGCCGTGAGCTGAAGCAGCCCACACTCCCAGCGGCTGGGGAGGGGCTCTGGGCAGGCACCATCTAGTATAGGAAGGTGGGACCCGTGTCCCCGACCTGGCCCGTCCTGGAGCCCCCTGGCCTGCTGCCTCCTCTGGCTTTGGCTCCTTCTGCCCCAGCCGGCAGGGCCAGTCCCTTCCACCCTGGGGTCTGGTGATGGGGTGGACCTTCATCCCCTCCTTTCAAGAAGCTTTTTCCACCCCAGGCCTCCTTGTCCTCCCTCTGCCCCCTGCCTCTTCCCCTCTAATTGTTTGTTTTTCCCTTCAACCTCAGCCATGCGATTCCCCCACCTGCTATGCCCTTTCTTGCTCTCTACCCCATCCTCTCTTTAGGGCCTGTGTGGGTCCCTCCCTCTCCAGGAAGCCTCTGCTCACTGCTCCCCCCAACTTGCCGGCCTGTAGTCCTTCCTCCAGCTCCACCCTTTTTACAGATGGAAAGGCCAAGGTCCAGTGTGCACTCCCTCACGAATACTCTGGGGGTTCCAGCAGCAGTGCCAAAGTGTGTTGCTCTCTTTGCCTTGGTTGCTAGGAAGCTCATAGCTGGTTTGTGGCCCATGTCTTGTTAGGGCTCAGAATGCTGGCGTACAGTTGCTCAGTGGCCTTACCTCTGGCTTCTTCTCTCTCACTTTTTTCTTCTTCTGATTTCTTTTCTTCTTCTTCAGCCTGTGCTCTTCTCAGCAGCCTCAAACTAACTTTTAGAAGGTGGCGGGGTATAAATTATAAATAACCAAGACTGGCCTTGGGTAAAGCATTCAGCCAAGTGCGAGGCTTTCCCCTTCCTAAGGGCAGCTGGAGAGGGAGGGTCTCCCCCAAGGCCCTGGGCTGAACCTGTCCCCGGGGAGACACCCAAGCTTGACCATGGCAGCCCTGGTATGGTGCCCACCCTGCCCTCCGTGGGTCAGGAAGGACATTGTTCTGCTTCCCATCCTTCTCCCTCCCCCCTTTTCATCTTATCAGAAGCTAATGAAAGAGGCTGGGAAACCCAATCCTCTGGTAATTAAATTTACTTAACGGGTATTCAAGTGGAGTAATGAGAAGTTTAATGCAGTGATTAGATTTTTCTTTAATTAATTAAAATGAGAACCATGTGTCTTGCCAGCAAACCAGCTTGACCCTCTGTTTGAGAGCAGCAAACAGAGATGGTGGGGGGCTTGACTGCGTGGGTGGGGGTGAAGGGTGGGTGCAGCCCCCGTTCTTGGAAGTAAGCCTGGTTCTGCTGCCCACCTAGGGCAGCCCCTGGTGCAGCCCCCATTTCCGAGCTGCGAGAGCCCGGACTGGGCTAGGCCTGAGTCTCCCGGGGCTGAGGGATCCAACATTCCCCACACTCAGAGCTGAACACTGACCCAGAACAGAGGTTTCAGAGAGGGGCTTAAAGCAAGGAGCACAGTGGAGGGATTTCAGGCCCTGCGAGTGGTGGGGGCATTTTGGGTATCACATCTCATTGCATGGGCCAGTGGACACCTTTATCTGCATGTTCAGCCAGACCTGGCTTTACCTCCTTTGGCTCTATCTGGGCTAATGGAGTGAGGGCAGTGGGGTGGATAATCAAGAAATCTGAGATAACCCGCAAACCACTCCTCCTTGACTTGGGAATGCATCCGTGCCAGAAGGACGGATCCTTGCTACATTTCCGAAGGCCAGTTAGGACTGCAAGGAAGTACTTCCTGCCTTGGGCCACTTTTGCTGGGGTCAGTTGGGGGCTGGGGTAAAGGGAATATGGGAATCCCAGCATGGCTGTGTGAAGTAGAGCATAGGACGGGCCGTGCCAGGGTAGAAGGTGGGCATAATGAGGATCCAGAAGACAGGCCCCTGTACCCGAAGGGCAGAACATGTTTTCAAGCAGTGGGTAAGGCTGGGGAGAGTCCTGAGTCTTTCATGGTGGGGAGGCAGAAAACTTCCTTTAGTGAGACCTGACCCTACCCCCACACTGAGCCTTGATCCTGGACAGACTGAACCTTGATCCCAGTCCTAGAGGAGCCCTGACCCCAGCCCCATACTTAGCCCAGCATTGTCATGGATTTGCAAACAGAGTAACTAACGAGTGCTGGGGTGGGAAGGGTGAGCAGCCCCTGTTTGTCTATCCTCAATGCCAGCTCTCTTGCCTGTGGGCAGGATTCCTGTGCCAGGCCCCACACTTGTCTCTGGAATGGCCAAGATGAGTCAGATCCCTGCCCACAAGGCTGGTGGGGGAGGTGACAAGCAAACAGGCACCGAGTGATCAGAGCTGAGGTGGGGGAGACCCAGAGGGCTGGGGGCTCTGGATCCGCACTAAGAGCTTCCTCCAATGGCAGGTGGCGGGGAGGGGCTGGAAGCGGGGCCCCTGGGGGAGGCTGAGACTGGTCTGCCAGAGGTGAGGAGGATGGTGCCCATGGCGGTGGCTGCAGGGGCCTTGGGTGAGCAGTTGTCCCTGCGAGAACCGGCTGGGACGCCCCCAGGCCACCCTAAGCTCCTGGTGAACCAAGGGCCTCTTGTGTGGAAAGGGTTGACGGAGTACGGGGCACTGGGCCGATAATGTTACCTTACAAGGCAAGCATTTTTACCCATCTCATCCAAGAGGAAAGAGGTGCTGAGCCCGCACTAGCCCGGTGGGGCGAGTTCCCAGAGCTTTCGGGCTTCCAGGCCGGCTCACTGCTGTTCCTGTGCATCTGCCAGGGAATGGACTTGCCCTGGGGGGCAGGAGGCCTCCGCTTCTGACTCCTCCACCCCTACCTGGCTGGGCCCGTCAGACTGGCATCTGGGGCGTGAGGAGTGAGGGAAGCGGAGGGTCCCAGCTAGGGAGGGGATGAGCCCCAGGAACGAGGCTCTCCTGCTGTCTTCATCCCTGCCCCTCCCCTCTCCTGACTCCACTAGATTCCTCCCGATTCTTCTTCTTCCCCATTTCCTTTCTTCTTTCCTTTCTGAAAACCCAGGCCTAGAGAAACCACCCAGCCTGCCCACCCACCACTCACATGGGGAAATCGTCAAGATCGTGGGGCTCTGCCTCTCATCTGTCTTTAAGGTTAAAGGGTCTGAAGTCACATTATCTCGAATGTAAACACAGGATGGCACTTGGACACTTTCTGTGGCCCTGCGCACACACAAGTTCACACTCCACAGGAGATAGCCCCAGGGAGCCAGCCCTCTGTCCTCAGGCACCATGCTCCCCCCTCCCTAAACCACTGTCTCACTGAATCCTCAGCGGTCTGGGAAGGTACTTTTACAGGTGAAGGAAGCAAGCAAGGTCAGGAACTAGGCCCAACTCACACTGCTAAGTGCAAAGGTGAAGCTTGCCTGACAAGCTCAAATCCTAGGCCAAGCCACCCCTCCAGATTACCCCCTCTTGCTTCCGGGCAGCTCCCCCTCCCTCCGTCTCTCCAAGCCTCCCCCCACCTCCCTCCCCATCCACTGCCACATCCCTCCTCCCTCCTTGCTGTGTCCTCCAGCCAGAACCAGTGACTCTTCCCCAGCCTGCCCCACGCTTTCCCACCCCCAGGCCCTCGTTCAAGCTGTTCCAGCCCCCTGGAGTTCCCCTC